GACGGACAGGGTCGGGGGGGCGTTAAGGCCGGCTGGACCGACAGGGTCGGGGGGGGGCGGTTAAGGTCGGCGGGGGCGCTCACCATGAAGTTCTCCATGTGCCGCACCTCCTGGTTGACGTGGTTGAGGATCTGCCGGCAGCACTCGGCCGCCCGCTGCACCTTCGCCCGCTCCTCCTCCTCCTCTGGAGGGACAGGCTGGGTCAGTGCCCCTGCCCCGGCCCCCAACCCCCAGCCAGCCCCCCAGCCCCCTTCTGGCTGCCAGTCCCTGGCCCACAAGCCAGCCCCCCACCCCCCAGTGCCTGGCCCACCCCTCCCCCTGGCCCCCAGCCAGGCCCCCTTCCTCTCCCCAACTCTTCCTCCCCCATGGCACCTCCTGCCCCCCGCGGCCCCTCACCCGTGTACTTGGCGATGTTCTCCAGCAGCAGCGGGTACTTGGTGAGACGCTGCATCTCGATGGGGATGATGTCCTTCAGCTGCAGCCGCCGGCAACGCGGCTGGCTCTCTGCCTCCTGCGGGGACAGGCCGCTGGGACGGGGGCAGGGCAGCGGGGGGGGGGGGGGCAGGGCTGGGGTGGGAGGGCTGGGGGCAGGCTGGGGGCGTGACGAAGTGGGGATTTTCCCTGGTTATGTTGTAGGTGAGCCTATGTGAGTCGTACTGTTTTGCATGGATGCAGTGTGTGCCTCAGTTTCCCTGTGTCCTGCACCAATGTCTGGGTGGTGGGAATAAGGGGGTGCGACTTGGGGGCTGCTCCAGCTGCCAGCAGGGAGGCTGTGGCCCCCCCCCTCGTAACCTGAGCCCCAGGAGGGGGATGCGACCAGGTGACTCTGGCCAGGAAGCGAGATAAAGGCCGGAGGAGGAACAATGGGCCGGGCAGGGGCCGGGCAGCTGGCTTGGAACGGGGACCAGCCCTGGCTCTGGGCTCCCCTCCCCTCAAGATGGACTTGGCTGAAAGTCTCTGATCTGTGCTAACGAGCTCTGCCCTACGCCGTGTTCCTGTCGCCTAATAAACCTCTGTGTTACTGGCTGGCCGAGAGTCACGTCTGACTGCGAAGTGGGGGTGCAGGACCCTCTGGCTGCCCCAGGACCCCGCCTGGGCGGACTCGCTGTGGGCAGCGCACGGAGGGGCAGATGCTGAATGCTCCGAGGTCAGACCCAGGAGGTGAAGCCGTGTGAGCTCCTTGCCCTGAAGACAGTCTGCTCCGAGGGAGAGGAGGCTCCCCAGAGTCCTGCCTGGCTTTGTGGGGAGCAGTCCCAGAGCATCGCCCGGGGACTCCGTGACAGGGAGTGGGGCAGTCCGGGAGGCAGAGCAAGGAAGGCCAGGGGGCGCAGGGCCGGGGTGCTGGAGGGAAGCGGGGCAGGCCAGGGGGCGCGAGGGCCGGGGGGCGCGAGGGCCGGGGTG